CCCTTGTATGAAAGGATAGAGGGACCCACTGAGCAACTACACTGTGGGAAAAACAGGCTCATTCAAACCTGCAATAATTGCATGGAGTTGTCATACAATTCCCTGTCACTGAGAAACAGGTGCCAGAACAGATGGAAAGAGAAAGCAAATCTGAAAAAGAATAATTTTGTCATTTCTTGTCAGAGTTTTGCTACTGACTTGTATAATAACACACTAAATGCTTAACAGAACTAAGTTCCTAAGAGGAGACAGCACCAGGGCACTATCTTGAGGTATATGAATCTTAGCACAACCCCTGTAGCAAAGAAAACTTCTCAATGTTTCACCAGAAACATTCGTTTCTACATTGTTACCAAGGAGTCAAATTCCACCAAATCAGCCAGTGATTTTGAAGAAAAATACCTGATCAATTCTAAGGCACATCTATTTTCATCATAATGATAATCGAATTAAATAAAACAGACTCATTCCATAAACTTCCCTCAGTGCTGTTTGTTGCGTTTTTTAAATAGATATATCTACACACACATATACATATGAGTTTCTGAATTCTTTTTTTGTAGGAGTGTGTTGTATTTCATGTACAACTACCAAGTTTGTACTTGCTGCTCTGCTTAATTGTGAACTGGATACATCAAGTACAAATATTGATCACCTGATAACTATTTTGATCACCACAAAGCATGCTATGACAATAAGCTAAAGGCAAAATGAGTTAATGTCATCAACCAACACACTCATTTGTTTCCCAAAACCCTACATGTAGAAGCTGCATTTCCTAAATTCAGGGGAGAAAAAAAAAAAAAAAGCAGAAGACAAGCGTGAATTTTGGTTCTTCTTAATAGAAGAAAGATTCATACTTCATTTTTGCTGGCTGTAAAGCGGAAGATGAGGGGCACCTTTGTATTTGAAAAAATAAAATTAAATCCAAGAATGAAGTTTCTACATATAGCCAAATCCTATGACAGATGACTGCTCCATGACTACTACTTAATTCAGACTTGCCAACTAATTTAATCACAGCAATTATCCTCTCATTATTCTAGTTAGACTGCTTGACCTTATTTGCCTGATCTAAAACTGATTACAATTCCTGGGATTATCGAGTCTGCTGCTGTCCACGCTCCCTCCCCCATTCCAGAGGGTCTAGACTACCTAAACACAGGCTCGTATTCTTGGAAAAGCCAAGGTCTTAAGGTAAGATGTCAGAATTTATAGACATGACTAATTCTCTAAACCCCTACTGACCTCGTATTAGGTGCCAAGCCTCTCGGTGCCATTGAACACAGACAAGGGATTGCCATAATGCTCACATTCAGGAAGTGACCCTGAATTTTGTGCCATTGATCCTTGCTACCTAAATATAATAGAGTAATTCTATATTACTCCAGTTTAACCAGCCACAGTTCACTTTTAAATAATCATTAAAGCAAACACTCACCCTCTTTTTTAGTTTTCTCTTTCTTCTTTCTAAAGGGGTAGAAACATGTAGGTAAAGCAATTTAAAGTAATTTTAGCATATTCCAACAACATCTACCTTAGAAAAATAAGTAAGATATCAATGGAACTGAACAAACCAATAACATTGAGTGGAAGACTGCTTTGTAACAAATCCTCTGCAGTCTACTTTGTATAACGTTCCCTGTAGACAAGTCTGCAGTTATCAAAATAAGTTTTTTAGGTTTTGTTAAGACTGTTTTAACTGATGATCAAATTTGAACAAAATTAAGAACTTGTACAATTTTATCTTCAAAGACTCGTATTTTTGTGGCTTTGGAATTGTTTGGCTCAATTTTACTTACATGTCATTCTCAGGAGGGTCTTCATGTGGAATTTGTAGAGGCAGAAATGATAATTCACATTCCTCTGGCCTAGAAAAGTATTGATATTTACTATCATGTAAACCAATATTCTGACTGCTAGACAGACTTTTATCTAAGTTAAGATGATTTTAATGAGATGCTGAACATACAGAATTTATCTCCTTAACTTGTAAGAGGGCTATATATCACACCTGGGTTAAATCTGTCTGCAATTAAGAAGTCAAGATAACTAAACTACTGTCTATATTTTTACTACATTAATTATTGCATTTTCTTCAAGAAAACTAGAAAAATATAACAGCTCATGGTATACTTGAGATCTGCCAGTGTTTTGATAAAAGCAAAATCCTTCCGCTGATTGGAGGGCATCCAACGGTGTTTTTCAGCCAAAGCTAGAGTCCTTGCACCAAAACCAAACATAGCTGAGAACCCAAACCGCAACAGCTTGCTTGGAGTACTGAAAGTACAGACATCTACCGGTTGAATATGTCCTGAAATTTCAAAGTTAAAGACCAGAAATTACAAATAACACCTGTATTTCAAAGGGAGTCCAATTTACCATTTCCTTTTCACCTCATTTAGCTGTGGGGAAAAAACTCCAGACTCTTCCCTAACTTTAGTAAAACTTCATTTCATAATGGAAAACAGAATCAATCCAAATATAATTAAGACTTTATAAAATAGTCATAAGGAGAACAAAGTTCAGATGCTTCCAAATGTTAAAAAACTTATGGCAAAAATTCAGCTACTTTATCAGTCAAATGGTCTGACTTAATTCTAAGCAAATTTTCTATAATTACTATCAAAGAAAATGTAATACTGCTATATAAGTTTTTGCAACGATTTCACCAAATATTTGTAATGACTGAACATTGTACCGGAGGAGACGTGAACTCTTAAATATCAGTTTTAAACGTATTTATGTTTAGAGTTATAGAATTTAGACATCTAATTTTGTTCAAGATACGGTATATAAATTTTTTCTGCAGTAGAACACAGGTGGTTTCCATTAGATTGAGTTTCTCTGATTGAAAAGACAGGTTTAGATTTTACCTGTAAAGGCTGGTGTATTACTATTTAAGAAATAGAGCAAAGGCTCTTCCACTGCTGACTGCAAGGTCTAGAAAATCGATACTCAAAGTGGACCTTCTCCATTATTCTCTTTTTTCATTCGGAAAAAAAAAAAATAGGGTCTTAAAGAAAAATTGCTTTGGGAGGAATACTAAAATTGCTCAACTAAGTATTTGCTATTTCCTAAGACCTGAAAATAAGGTTTGCACTAGCAACCTAGTTCTTCCTTTTAGCATAATTACGTTTTCACATGCAAAAACCTATTTACTGTGCAGACCAAATGGCAAGTGATACAGTTTTTTTCTACCAACAAAGCTTTCTTATAGAAACTCTTAGTATTTAGAAGAAATGCACATGGAGCTAAAAAGATGACCGATACTTTCTCAGAAATATGACAATACTTTCCTGAAAACTCTAGTCCTAACCACTTCCTCAAACTGAAAGTATTGTGTATTTCCTACTGTCTTCAGCAGGCATTTTAAAATAACCAAGTGATTAGGCAGCCAATCATGGCACAATAACACACACACACACAGACACTATTCACACAATCAAGTCTGGAAAAGGGTACTTCTTGTGTTAAAATAACATCAGTAATAGGGCATGAATGCCAAAATCAGACATTATTCCATGGCAGACTTTAGTTATCAGAAGATGAGGTCCACAACCTTTGCTACTGAACTATACTCGAAGAATCATAACCTTTCCAGTATGCTATAAATCAGGAAAGAATCATTTGGGTTGAAAAGTCTTACAACGTAGTTTAGAGTAATAGAGCATAACACTATGCCTTTATTAAACAAGTGGTTATGGCAGCTCTAAATGCTGCTTTAGTATTTAAAATCTGTTAATGTATATAAAAATATTTACCCATTATAATGTGCAACGTTGCAGTCACTGCGTGCTTAATACCATAGAGAGTATAGGCCAAAATATTTGTAGTACCTGTAAAGGTGAACACAAATGGTTGTAAAAGAGATACAGAATAACAAGAAAAAAATACATATAACATTTTCTGAATGAAGACACTGAGACATTTACTGAACTTTAAAAAAAAAAAAAAAAAAAAAAAAAAAGCGCTTCACAAACCCCCCCCCCTTTTTATTTTTTTAAACCATCTCCTTAAAAATCACTTCTATACCTAAGTAATGTACTGAGGAACTGTACTAGAAGGCAGATTATCTAATAAGATATATTTGGAGAATGATTTTAGGTTGGGAAAATAATAAAATACCTAACCAGTGTAAAACTATACATTTCCCAGACAAAATTCTACTAGATCTAGTCTAAGCTATTGTGCCTCTTGCAGGCTACATTTTAGATTCTTAGAAGCAATAGTGAATAAAATTAATTATTGCATGTTAGCTTTAGCTATAAGAACACATTAATGACTGAAAACCAGAGATAATGTAGAATTTGATGTGCATCTGACAAATTGTTGATTTGCATTCAGTGTGTTAAAATTGACCCATTTAACTTCTCTTTGTCATTTCCTGGACATTGTCAGCCCAGTTGCATTACTAGCCACTGGACAGAAGAGATTAAGTTATTTTGAAATAAGGGAATAAGTAGTAAATCAGCTGGTAAATAAAAATTTAAAAAAAAAAAAAAAAAAAAGTGCAGCATGGAGTTGGAAGAGAGAGCAGAAAACTATCAGTTTATGAAAGAAAGAAGTATGGTTTTGGAGGCCCATGTTTGGCAGTGATTGGTATGTTGAGTCACTTTACCTGTGTAAGAAACAGATATACATAAAATTTGCCTTTCCGCTTTAATGTATAGGACATAAAATACAGTGTATCAGCTGACTTTTAAACATCAATTTATTTTTAAAATCCCAAACAAGGAATGATTGTGTCTTTACTAAATGGGTATTTAACAGAATTTCAAGTTGGTTTTTCTCATTGATCACATCTCTGGCGTTTCTTAGCCAAGCAGGAGAGGCACAGAATTCATTTCTGCAAAAATAAAGAACCAGGGTCTGTCATCAAGTAGGCAGAATATTGAGCTTCTTCATACCACTGATTATGGGATGAATAATTCGATAACAGATTAATTAAAATAACAAGAATTACAAAATAACAATTTAGAACCTAACATTCTGTAAAGGAATGAGTTCACTTATATTTTCAAACAATTTTCTTGTTGCCTGAATTATTTAATATTTTACAGCAGCAATAGATAATTCTGGATGCTAAATTTGCCTTAAGTTTTATGGAAGCATTTAAACTTGTCTTTCAAGAGTGGAAGAGAGGAAAAGGAAAGTCTACCACATTTCAAACAAGAGGGGCTCAACATTTAAATAAGCACTTTAAAACCACCATGTACCAGACTGAAAAATTATGTTCATCCCAAAACTCTGCAATCTTTGATGTCACATTAGTGGTAGAAAAAAATAGTAAATTTGGAAAGATTGATGTACCTAGCTACAAAGCACTACAGGCATCTGATTCAGTATATGCTTCTAATTTTTTTCAATAATTTCTCTGAATAAGAATTAGTAAAATAACAGGATTGTATTAGTATCTTACAGACCACCTGTTATATCCTTAGAGCACCTTAGTCTCTGAAAGCAATTCAGAATATTCAGGTCCTCATGGAAAGCCTTCATAATGCCAGAGGGAAAAGCTCTATGTAAAGCTCTCAGGGTTCCTACTATGTGAAGGAAATAAGTGCGGTACATCTATTAAGATAATAGATACAAAATATTCTTTGACGTTTACATCTCCAGTGGTACATGGAAGAAATAAGGTTGTGTACAGTTTTATACTTTGAACAATTCAAGAAGAAACGTAATTCCATTCACATTTTTCTCAGAATGTTATAGGTTACTATACTATTAATTTCCTTCTCCTTTTTCTAAAAAAAAGCAATGTTTAAATAAATCCATCAAACTGGGATTCTGAAATACTTTGAAAGAAGAATAAACCGACAACCTCAAAAGCTAAATGTAAGTTCTTGCTTTTTTCTTCTAAAAGAAAGTGTCTCTAGATACACTGAGGAAGTCCAGTTTATTAAAAATATTGCCATTTCAATAATTTCTATCCAATAATTCATATCTAACAACCAAAAGTAATTTGTACTTTCCTTTTTGTACAATACCCATAAAAAAGAAAAGGCAAAATTGTAGCTCTAGAAAAACTCACTATTTTTCATACTAAGTAAACACAAAATACACTTCTAAGGAAAATTTTGGGACAAAAAAATTTAGGTTTGACCTAAAAAGCAATTCTTCACAGGATAATAGAAGTATACGCCCAATACCATCTTATGTTTGTATGCCTTATGAGATTTAACCTCTAGATCCAACTAATTCTGCTTAACCAGAGAAACTAGCTAAACAAGTGGCTCAAAAATACTCAGATATTTCCTTCAGGCTTATCAACTCTTATCGACTTTTATGGGTTCCAGAACAAAGGAAATCACACACACAAGCAGCAGATCATTACAAGTCGTGCAAATCATGTTTATTTCCTGTAAAATGGCAACAGGGAAGCTGTTATTCTGAAAAAAAGTATCCTTCCTTATCACTGAAGATCAAGCTATTAAAAGAGCACAAGGTGGAATATACTTCTGAAGATCAGGCTTGGTATGTCTTAAAACTGAGATTCCTCACTGATGTAAGAGCAATTTCTCAATACAGATGGCAGCAAGATAATAAATGACCGTGGTTGAAATCAATACCAATCTTCATACTGACTTCAATGAGAGTTAAATCTCATTCCTACTAAACAGGATAGGCACAAGTAATTGCATCTTTCTCATCAACATTTGCAGAAGTAAACAAGGCAAAACTCCACCCTTTCATGACTCCTGGGAAAATAAAACAAGTTCTGTCTGTGTTCAAAAACGTTAAGTACCACGTCCACCCTTCCACAAGTTGAAGATCTAAAACAAGTGCAGTTTGGGAGTAGCAAGTGCCATCACTTCTAAAAAAATCCCTTTTAATACATGCCTAACAGCACTGTGATCCCAACGATGACTGATTAATGTGTCTCATTATGTAGGTCCTAGACAAGCAGGATGCCACCAAAAAAAAAAAAAAAAAAAAGCTTATAAAAAGAGTGAAAAATAAGAAAGCTATTTTACAAAAAACTTTATAATACAAGCTTTGCTGATTTAAGCAGCGATTCAGTAATAATGAGTTTAATGCCATTATTCATCTTCTCAAGTCATCTTTTTCTCCCCTATGTAAACTCAGAATATTATTTACCAATAACAAGATGGTTCCCCTGAACACTATCATATTACTTTGGAGACTAACAATCTTCTTTGATGCTCATATATGGGCTTGCACCCCTCACAGATTACTAACATCACAGTCACATTTTCAGATCTTGCTCCAATTACTCAATTTAATGTAAAAAGGTTTCATCCATACAACCCCAGCATCTCCATCACCAGCATTTTTTTTTTAAACAGACACAAAACTGATTTTATTATTGTAAAAATATAACTCTGTTCAAAATATTAACCGATTTTCCTGACATTACAACCAACTTCCTATGACCTCCTTCCTATGCACTGTGCAAAAGCATCACAGTAAGGACAAAGTATCTGCAGATCATGTAAAGCATGACTGATGAAGGCACCAAACAGAAATTGTAGAGAAAAAAATTGTCCTTGGAAGTGCAAGCACTTCTGCAGTACAATTAACTTAATTAACCAGACAACATGAATATTCATAAGGCTGTTAATGTCTCCCCCATCCAAACAGATAAATGTGATGTAATGACTTCCTAGTCAAGCATAGCTAAAATTCTGATGAAAACTGCACCAACATTTTGGTTCTTTGCCTGAAATACCACAGAAATTAACAGTCCCTCAGTAATATTTTATTTTCTGAATTAATTGGAAATTATGAATTTATTTAAATGAACCGTTGAGGACCAAAAGGTTTACAGCCATCAGATATAGATCGTCTCTTGTTCTGGAACAACTGGATAGCTTTTTTAATGTCCTTCCAGTTCCCCCTCCCCTCTCTCTCATTCCCCCTCCGTACAGTTTCTTAGCAGTAGTTCCCATAGCAACAAACACTCTTGCTAATGGCCAGCAGTACAACTGCAGGCTTCCCCACATCTCATCCATTTGATTTGGACCAGAATAAGGCAGCTCAGTAGAGTATTTAGTGAAAACACACTCCCCTCTGGACCTTTCTCTTCAGGAGGTAAACTGCTTCAGGAGCTGCTCCTTCCCATCAAGTTGGCTGAAACTTCAAAACGCTGTCTTAACTACTTATAATAGAGGCTAAAACCAGATTTTTGAGCCACTCAGATAATGCTATCCTGTAATACAGTTTCTATTTTTACTCAGCTGGAGAATCGTAATAATTTGGTACAACGGACTTCTGGGAGGGGGGGGTGGGGTGTGGGAAATTACATTGACCCTTGAGTTCCACCTTCATGTAGTATCATACTTACCTGTTTCTTAACCAACTGCTTTTTGAAGTGTCAATAATATGGAAATAAAATAAGCTAAAGATTATTTATAAGAACGTATTCAGGAGTTTCTCACACTATCATTCTATAAACTCTCACCCTCTTTTAACAAAGTCTATGGCATTCTGTCTAACAAGCCGTACAGGATTCTTTTGGGTTTACAAATCCCTTTTGATAGTGACGTATTTGTCTTAAACTGGAGAGCTAGCACTAATGATGAGGCACAGTGACCCAAGCATGCCCAGACAGCACGGAGTCCTGCTGCCGCAAGTCAGTCTCAACACCATCAAGATATTCACAGCAACTGGACTGACAAGTGATGGTCCAACTGCTGTACTAAAATTCATACGTTTCATCTCTTTGATGTTATTGTATCTTTTAACAACACACTTCCAAGGTTTCTTTTTTTTAACTTGAAAAAAAGCTAGCGTGATCTTGCATTTTTACAAGCAACTAGTCCCTGTCTTGATGCTACTTTTAGAAGTGCAAAGCAAGTCAGAGCACTTAAAACCTGCTTGCTCAGGTTGGCAGCAACTTGCTCCTTTTTTTGTAGAAAACCAAAATCAACATTTTGCCCTTTACCTAGCTGCAGGAGTTTCCTACTTTCTAGTTAAAAAAATCTGAGAAATTACATCAAGTAGTCATATCCATAATAGAGGGTAGTGTCAATGCAAAAATATCCCTCTTTTGAAGAGAAGTGATTCATATACCAGTCCAGAATCAACCATGCTGTACTAATTCTAGCTAAGCCTCCCTGCCTGGCCCAGGCTATACTCTGAGAAAGGCAAATACAAAAACTGGGAGGAGAGGGACACACACACTCCCCAAAGCAAACAAAAAAACACGCCACAAGATGCAAGTACAAGTTAATAAAGGAGTAAGAGGATTTATCAAGATAGACACCTACATTTTCAGGTCTGTAGAAGTAAAGGAGAGAGAAGGAGTTTTGTGTGTACAGTATTTTAATTTTTTTTAATATAATCCACAAAATGTTTTCCTGGGACACCATTTAAAAATAGACCTTAAGCATGAAGCCAACTGAGAATCCTGCCAAGAAAGCTAGAGAGAGAGAAGCAAAACAGCATGGCTTATATTACGGAAATTCTAGAAAACAGTTTTCATTTGGTATCATTTGTGGCAGCAAATAAGGACAAGCCTTGTTTTTGCATGGATTAGCTGAAAATTATTTTAGTTTTCTTCTTCCTGAGCATCTTCCTTTAGGCAAAGAGCTCATCTGTGCCATTACTATAAATTATCATAATGATTTAAAATCTAGTCATTTGTAATCAATCTAAATCACTAATTTAGGACATTTATTCAATAGCTCCCTTAAGTAACTGAACCTTTAGCACCAAGAACTGCCTTTAGTAGCCAAAACTGTAAAAGATGCCAGAGGGAGTTAAAACAGATGGCTTACAAAATTTAACAGTACCTTTTAGTCTCACCTGCTGGTATTACTCCAAGAGGAACTGGTGCTCTGACAGGCGTTGGTATATAGTCTGTGTCTTTTCCAGCGTCTATCTGGGCTTTAAGTAGTAGACCATGAGCAACTTCGCTGACAGATCCATCTCCACCGACACAAACTACCCTATTACAAAACAAAAATGCTAAACAGTTCAGATTAAACTCCTCCATAGCTGAGCAAACTAGTGGAAGGCAGCTACCACACACCATATACATAATGACATTTCAAATAGCTAATCCCCATTCTTTAAGAACATGCTAGGGCTTCACTGTCAGATTTGTGAAAGTTAACAAGATACAAACATCCCTATTTCTGCTTCCTTCTATCTGAGTAGAAGCAAATATATTTAACAACTTAGAAAGTACTTCTTACCTTATCACACATTATACATGTGAATTGATCAGATAGAAGAGTTAAGCACATGCGCAAGTGCCTCAGTGGAAAAGTTCTTCAAATCTTTCAATGCTGACCCACACAAGCATCCCAAAGCTTTTTAATTGCCCTTATAACAACTACTCATCAAATATTACAATAAAAATACTTGAAAATAGCTAATTCCACACACTATGCAAGCAGTTGAGGGATTTAGCAAGGTATAAAAGCCTAGTGCCAGCAATCCTTTGCATGAAGGTACTTAATCACTGCTTCTGGAGCATGTAATTAAACTCCCACCTGCTGTGGCTATAGAGAGGAATGCATGTGTTTGTAAAAGCTCTGTTACAGCAACGATTTTTTTTTTTCTCTGTTTGTGTTTATTTAAGTAACTATTAAAATGATTCTCCAAATTACTAATGTTTGAAAGTTAAAAGGTTTTAAGATAAACACATTTTAATGATAAAAATACTAATAGTACACTCTAAGCATTTACAATGTAAATGTTAGATTTGCTTTAGGAGGCACTTAAAAGATTTTTTCATATAATTCTGTGTCAGGGATCAGGGATTCCAAAGCTAATCAGCAAGAACCTGCTACACATAAGGAGTAGAAAGTCTTGAGCAAACAGTTTTGACTAAGACCTTGAAGAAGGTTTCTTAGAGGAAGAAACTTCTGTCTAACCATCATACACGTTTCTTAAACAACAGTTTACTAAAGTCTGACTAACCCAGGCTAGTCTAAACAATATCCACAATACCTTAGGCTCCCGATTAGGGAAGAAATACGTGCACGTATATTATGTATTTCTGTCACTGTGCAAACAAGAAAATGCAGCTGAGATAGCAGCATCAAAAATGCACTCTCTATTTGTCACCAAGGCTTGGCCCCAAGGTGGGGAAGAAAAAGCACACTGCCGAGTTGGCAAAGTACCTACATTTTCAGTCTCGGTAAGGAAAAAAAATAAATTGTACAGCAAAAAAGGTGGAGTATATGAGACACATGACATATGCCTAGGACTATGCAAAACAGAGTGGGACCTGGAAAAATCAGACAAAAGAAATTATATATAGAAACAAACAGCTTTGACAAAGAATTAAAACATAACAGTATTGCTTACAGAAAGCACTGAGATACAAACTCCCTACTTACTAGTAAATACAAATTTACTACTGCAAATCATAAACCTCAATTTCCTTCGCATGCTGCTTAACATGTAGGGAACCGTAACTCTCTTAGAAATTACAGATCAGCAGTTTTATGTTGCTATACTGCTTACCTACTGTAAAGAATAAAAACCTGTTGTGTCTTGCCCTTTATACAGTTTTACTTGAATTAAGCTTTCAGTCAATCTGACATAGGCAACACTTGAAAAGCATGAGCTGAGTTAGAGTAGTAGACTAAGCATGCAGGCATGGCCTTCAGTCCACACCTAACTCATCTCCAGTTGCTTCTGAGCCTGGGCAAGGCACATCAGGTCTACGTGAACGCTGCCGTGTAGAAATAGCACAAAAACTACCTTACCTCTTACCACCACATACAGTGCCTTCCACATCTAAAAGGAGGTGCAGAAGTGCTATCCTATTTTCTAAACGGGGAGCTAAGCGACAGATACCTGAACAAAACTGGACAGGAAGCCTGGGCAAAACAGGAAAGAACTGAAGCCTGCCAAGTCACAAGCTATGCTGCTCAATAAACGAGTAAAACTTCTCAAGATTTAATGGAAATAATGAAAAGACATTATGTCAGGAGGCTGCTAGAATTGCTAAAAGCGTTTTGTCAATTCAATTTCACTGTTGTGGAGTTAACTTTCAATTCAAACCAGACCCCATATGTTTTCTGGCTTAATTTTCAAGAAACCAAAATTGTCATTAAAATTTTATTTGGGAAACACTGAGGTGGTTTTGGGGGCCTATAAGATATGTATATCTATAGCAAAATTTCTTAGGCTAGACAGCAACGGGGAAGTCACAAATGACTTCACAGGAACATAATCAAAAGTATACCATAAACCTTTAAACAATTTGAAAAAGAATATCCTAATTTCAAATATTCTCTTCCTGTTCTTAAGAATAATTCTAAAGATAATGGAGAGACACAACTGATGTTTTGTAGCTTTCTCTTTCAAAAAAATCAGTCCTTTAGCATAATATGAAAGCTGACTTTATCCTATCAGTCTCTGTAGATTTTACTTGAAAATAGCAGTTAAAAATATCTCTAGGTACATCAGTGTAAAGAATTACCCTTGCAACTTACCTTCCCTATGATCTCATATCAAAAAGTATCCCAGGTTAGCTCTTTAACAGGATGTTTTCTGTATTGTGGTTTATTGCATGAGTACATAGATGGAGGCCAGGTTATCTGAGAAGTTATAAAACTCATTCTTCAAATGCTTCAGAAATTTCATGTTTGCTCATAACCTCTGATAATAAAAGCTACTTAATTTCCACATGAAGAAAAAAAACACCCCAACACTTACACAGCTAACTGAAGAAAGGACACAGATCCTCTCACCTCAGAAATCCTAGCATCATATTGACTTAAGGGTTATTTTCTTCCAGCTTCTTCTGTTCCTATTTGTTAGTTCTGGCTACTGGAGAGAAATCTTACAGGGGAAGTGCTACAGTGACTCTACCCAATGATCAAAGATGAAACAACTCAAATATGACTGAGTAGAAGGGGTTTGTGCAAGAAGATACAACCCAGACTTTTTCTTCTCTGTCTTCATATCCGCCTCCCAGGACAAACTGGTTCGCCAGCTAGCACCCTAAGAGACATGTCTTAATTGGAAAGAAATTTTTCTCACAGTTTGGAATACATACATACATTTTCAGATATATTTTCTTACCTAACTCTGTGAATTTCTAGAACCAGTAGAAATTGATTAGACTACAAAACATTATTTCAGCCTTCTTGTATGGCTTACTGCATATCCCAATAAGAGTTGTAAGATTTTCACATTATGCAAGACTATTCTTATATATTATTGAACTTTGTTACTGAATTATTAATGTAAAAAGATTGCAAGATTAATCCACGTAGCAAGGTCTTTAAAAATGACTGAAAAAACATTTTCAATCTTGACTTGAAGTAAGTTTGAATGATTTTTTTTTTTTTTTCCTAATGGAAAAACATTCAAGTTACTTTTAGATAAAACATTCTCCTTCAGATCCATTTGAATGGACACAGTGAAAGAGAGAAATACAAGGTGCTCGTGCCACCCTTGCAAATACAGAGACTAAAGCTTTCATGAAACATATTTAGGAAAATTTTTATGTTATTTACTATTATTTATGAATTCAAAATACATACCTATTGCCAGTAAGCAATAAAAAACAAAGCATCAAATGAGAAATTATTTTCTCAGGCTTAATATATATGTGAAACAGAGTAACACCTACTAGCAGAGTTCTGGATGGAATACAAATAAAAACTAACACAAGGAGGTTTACTAACATTCACTGTCACTAACCAACTTACCCATCAAATGCCTGGAGATCACATTCTTTAAGTACTGAGAGAGCATGTCCTTCGTATTCAGTTACTGTGAAAAACAACATTATTTAACTATAAAATTAGATAATTTAATTTACTTATCAGAAGATTAGACAATTTAAAGAGCTTTTAAATTTTTTGCGCTTCTAACATAAGGAACATACAGTAAGTGTTCAGATGTGCATTAAAAATAAGAGATGTTTTACAGTTGTGCTAGCTAAAGAGGCAAGACGTTAAAACTCAGCTGCAATCAGACACATGGCTATTTAGTGCATTAAATTCAGAGAATTAGAGAAGATGTTTGTTGCATCGAAATAGAAGTTTTAGCATTGACACAGTTGGTAAACTTCAGGAAAATGTAAGCATATCCTTAGTTAAGACTGAATTATTTCAGTATCAATCAAATTTAATTGCCTTTGTGTTAGGATATGCAAATTGCTAAATCAAAAATATGAGGAGTTAAACACAGAAGTATGAAATCAAGCCAAACACCAGTGACAACAGAATATAACACACAGAGGAAGGTGGCACAAGTATACACCAGAGTTCATAGCCTCTGGAGGAAACGAATCTGTCACTCTACATTGATGTCTCTGTGTTTGCTGATACCCTATATAGTACTGTAAATGCCAGTGAAGACAGGATAAACTGGCATACTACAGATGGCACAGAGCATCATAACTACATTTAGCATTTTCTAGGCCAGCTTTGCCAGAAGAGACAGCCCAGCTGCAGCCACCCATCAAAGATTTTTGCTGACTGACATGACACTTGCAGATGGATTTTTTGTGTAAGAATGTGCATCATTATATGCAAAATTACATTAATCTTTCATGCTTGTCTGTCCCTGGTGCTAGCATAGTTCAAGGCTTTTCTCCAGTGTTTCTAAACACTGTTAAAATTATTAGTCTTGGTGTCTAAAACAATCATTCCGTATCTGTACCTGTTATAACAGTATTTCTACAGACTATTCAAATGCTGCTTGCAAGAACTGCAAATGCCTCTCTTTCTCTCCCCCTATATATACATATATATGCACACATAAGAATATGTGTATAACTATTTAAAAAAAAATCAAAATAAAAGTGATAAAACTTGTTCACTGCACACTAAACAACTGTATATCAGCATATAGCTTCAAAATCTCCCAACCAGTATTAGCAAAGTTCTAGCGCTTGGTGTTTCAGTAATTCTTAATTAAAAGCTAGAATTATTTTGATTATATCAAAGGCTGAGAATTATATTTTTGCTACAGAAATACCTATCACTGTAATAGCTTTCAGGAATTATTTACGGAATTTACTTTCATGCAGAAATTCTTCTGGAAGATCAAAGCACAATATTTAAGCTGTCATACTCAATTTTGCTTTTACCAATGGGACCTATCATTTCATCATTATTTGTAGATTGTGAAAAAAGTGACTAATAAAACCACAATATGCAAAAATGCAGAAAGGTTCAAATATCTTACCATTGTTAAACCGTGAAAGAAACTCTTCCCATGAAAACATAGTTTGTTACCAGGTTACATGTCTTTTTAAATGACATTTAGAAAGTCATGAGTAAAGTCTAATTAAAAGTGTACAGTAAGTATGATTTCTATTTTGTGAAAGAAAACATGCTCAGTGGTTTCTTAATGTGATGTATGTAAGTTATGTTTACTATAATATTACAAAATTAATTCACTCGAAGAACAAGGACATGAAAATAAAGAGGACTCATGCCTACCGAGAAACCAATAAAGGCAGTAAAAATTACAAGTGTCAGCCAGATTTATGGGGACTCCATCTTCTATGCATCTAATAGGCTATGTTTAAAAATTATACAGGAGGACTACTGCAAGGTTTATCACTGGAGATAATTCCAAGAAATCTAAAATTTAATGAGAGAGTGTCAGAGATACACAGCATTTATTTTGAAACACTGTGACAAAAAGGTAATGAAAAAATGAAGTTTCCAGGAAAAACTTCATGAGAACATACAGAAAATCACCCAAGTAGAAAAAAAAGGAAAAAATTCAACATAGACATAAAAAGACCATGTCTAAAATGTTTTCAGCAGGCTTGACAACCTCCAGAGTGACATGTAAAAGTCATTCTGATAGCTGAAAAAAAATAGATGTTTGATTATTTGGTCGTGTACCAACTCAGGGGAAAAAAAAAAAAAAAACAACAAAAAAAATCCACCACAAAAAAAAAATCAAGCACAAAACCAAGAAAACCCACACAATAAGTTTTGTTAAGAGAAAGTGAACTTCTTTCACTGTTTGAGAAGGAGTCAAATTACATATTTGGCAAAAATACTATCACAAAAATATTACTTAATGTTTTCAATCATTTCTAATGCTTTTTTCAACTCTTTTTAATGCATCGTTGAAAAGGTTTTCCTTTTTCAAGGCCTTTTTGTTCCCAACTTGTAAATTCCAGTACACATTAAGTTTCAAGTAACAGCATTCTGAACGAAGGGCGCTGTCAGTGTACCTCATCTGAACAGTCACACGTACTCCAAAACACTGTAACCCCCTATCTCACCTTGCCAACAAGAAACTAAGGGTTCAGCCCCTACATATAGGAAAAGCAACATATAATTAGTTCAACACTGCGAAACGTGGGACAATTCCGTATGACACGTATAAATACTGGCACTTGTGTCACAGACTAATGTCAGTAGGATTAAAACTGCTAATGATAACAACAGATTAACTAGTGTTGGCACTGTATTTAAAAAAAAAAAAAAAAAAAAAAAAAATTTAAACCAATGTTATTTGTCCAGTTCTCAATCCCTCTCTTTTCCTTTGTGATCCTGCCCGAAAAATGGGGGTGTGGGGAAGGCTGTTGTTTTTGCGGAACAGAAGAGTCAAAACTAGGAAAAGTAGTGAGACAAGCTAGGAGTCTGTTGGGGTTACCTTTATTTATTTTTCTTTAGTATGTGCAAGATTTTGCAAGATACTAATAAATTTCTAAAGTACTAGCCCAAATTATCAGTATTTAACTGTTGGATTCAATGATCTTCAAGGTCCTTTCCAACCCTAGTTGATCCTGTGATTCTGTACTTGCCAGTCCTTGTAAGTATCCCAAATGTAGAGCTAGCTTATGTTGAACTGGATTGTTGGAAGAGTCACTGTTGTTCTCTAACAGCCATATCCCAGCTGCAGAACTCAAGATTGCAAAACTCTTAAAAGACGGGATAAAGACCAGTTTTTAGCTTAGCTACAGTTAAAGCGCTGTTTCAGTTTAAATTCACTAATTCCCACTTTCTAATGCACCAAGCACTTCAGAGATTTGTTTATTTCGTGTAACGAAAATTAACCCAACCAATAAAAGACAGTCCACTCTTGAAGACCTCTGGTTAATTTCACTAAATCAATACATCTGTCACGTACAAAGTAATTTGGCAAAAGATAATTGGAGAAAGTAAATGCTATTTCAGAACTCCCTCATTTACATATATGCTTTTTGGCTGCTGTGTATCCTTGAGTAGGACAGAATACCTCCACTGCAAACTTCTAAACAAAATAAAGTTTATTCCAACAGAATAAGATCTGGCAAGCTTGATCATATAGGAAGCAACAGCCAGCTACCAAAATACAAGATTGGATGAAGAGAACTCTGTCTTTCAGCACTCCACTGTCAACGTTTGTTGGGGTTTTGGGGGTTTCTTTTAAGTAACCTGCAAGTCTTGTACTGTGTACGAACTGGTAGTCACTTCAGAGGTTTAAATTTGCTTTTAAGATTTTTGTGTACATTGTATTTTAAGATTTAAATCTGTATGTGAAAAGACTAAAAGTAAACTATCTTTGGTGTAAAAATTGTACAAAAGCCTTCAGCTTTTTCTACCTAATACACCTTTGTACACCACTCTCTATGTAAATATTGGCCATGTTTCAAAAAAACAGTAACAGCAAGATGCATGCTCCTACTTCACAAAATCCAGAACAATTATGGGAAAAAAACCCCACCTGTTCAATTTAATTGAAATGAGGCACTGCATTTTATTAGAAGATGGTACGAGTAGAGAGGACTTTCACTCAGCATCCACTACCATGACCACCCTCCCCTTTTTTTTTTTTTTAAATGCATAGTTCATAATTATTTATTTCTCTACTAGAATTTAAAACTGTAATGTAGTTTTCTCACTTTGCCTGTAGGAGGAGTGTCAGGCAGCTAATAAGCACAATAGCCTTTGGACATTGCCGAAATAACCTTTTTTAAGGATAAGCCATTAAACATTTACCTATCTAAAACCAGAAGTTTCTTTTTCAAATTTTAAAAGAAAAATAAGAAAAAAAAAAACCAAACTGGAAACTTTTTTTATTCAATTAGGAAAAACATTTTTAAATCACTACAAATTACAGTCATAGCTTATATTACATTTTGTTAACTAATCTAAAAACTACTTCATACAGATTTGGTTTATTAGTTCAGCTTTAGGATTCCAGATGACAATACGTAGCTAAAAATGTAATCTTACACAGGTTCATGATAATACTGAAAGAAAAGTCTAATAAACAAGGTCTAATAAGAAAGTCTAATAAACAAGGTTATGTTCACAGTAAGGATGAAAAAAACACTAACCGGTAGTAAGGATTAAAATTTTAAAAAGGTAATTTGCTTTAAGTAGTTGCTTAAAGTAATAACTAATTTAACATTATGACACAGTCAGTTATCTCTAACTAAGGTTTGCATGACAAAAAAAACCCCAAAACTTTTAAAAAAATATTGTGACCAAACAAGGCTAAATTCAATTTCTAAGAAGATAGCATTATTATTAAACTGTTCACACTATCATCTACACCTTGCAGGTGAAAAATAAGCCTGTGAGAATCAAAACTTATATAAAGCTGCTAGCATTCCCTTATCAATTAAGATAAGTTAAGAAATTATCACTACAGAATTCTAACACAGACAATCTTTTTCACACTTATTCTCATGTGTCTTTAATCTTCAGTTGACTTTAAATTTTGGGATACGTAATTAAAAAACCACATAGATACAGGTAATAAAATTAGTAAGATGATTTTCATATACAAACACTAACTGCATTATTATATCCTCATGCCTCAATCAGATTTACTCAGAATGCTTTTTGTCCTGCAACCTGAACTAGTCATGGTCTCACAGAAGTTTAAGAAACAACTGTAGGATGAGTCCTCTGCCTTGTAATTTGTTTAAACTGGAACTGATTATTTTGCAAGCCAATTATGACAGACATAGGAAAAAAGACTTTTTGGTGTTAAAATGTCTTGCACCCGAGTTTACACTTCATATGGATATGAAATGCAGAGTCAAAAATTAGCAAAGTATCGAAGGGAATTGTAATGCTATGGATAAACAATTATTTAAGAATGGGAAATACCAATAACATTTCTCTGTAAACTCGGGTGGTTTTTGTGACCAAATTTGATGCAGCATAAATTTCAGTCTCTTCATAGAAGGGGACAGAAATAATGATCAGATTATTAATATTTTACTTCTTTAAAATTGTTTCCCTATTCAATTTCTTACAAAAAGCCAATCAAATGAAACAGGGTAAAAAGGGTAAATTTGGGACATAAAGCAGAACTCCGGCAGAAATTGGGGCCTTAAATCCAACCCTGCCATCAGGAACCCATTGTGAGCAGAGGCAACGTCTCTACATTAAAGTTGTACCTTCACGTTCTCCAGACACCAAGTCATACCCATGTGCCTTGTGAGAGCTGCCTTTGTCATCACAGACCTCAATCACTCAGCCTTCCAGGTCATCCCTGAAAGTGAGTCAGAATCCAGAAATAATGTGTCCTTCAGATAAGCCCCTCTTATGATGTCAAGCCAATAGATGTTCCCAGAAGAGAAGTAATATTTAAGGACATGTGCTTGTCAGAATGCAGGAACAACTCTTAGCAAGCATGTATGAGACTATCAGACATTAAAAGCTCATTTTTATAGCATGCTTTCTTTTTAAAATACAAAAAAAAATACTACTAGTATTGACAGCTACAGGGGAAAACTATTCAATGAACAACAGAATTACTAAAACATTTTTTTCACAAAATAAAAATATACTGCATTGTATTAGCTACAGTTCCAAATGCACTACTTGCAGGCAAAGCCCATAAGGACTAGCAGTAAATTCAAATTGTCTTGCATGCTTAAGTAGTAGTTTCACAAAGGATTAAACTGTGCTTTTGTGGCAACTTACCCGTGACATCAGTTTTGATGTCAGCAAGTTTAAAAAGAGGAGCAACTTGGTCATAATAAACATGAGTGGCTTCTCTTCTGTGGCTGCTTGGATTAACAAACACTTTTAAGGATTTTGGTCTATTTTGAAAACCTAAAAAGAAAACACAAAACATTTAAGATTACAAACTGCCCAGCTATTTTTAGAGCTTAAATGAATTTTTAATATTAGAAGCATTACAATACATTAACAGGATAAGTAAATTGCAGTCTAAAAAAAGTCTCAATTTCTTCTTGGATGTGCACTATTTATCTTAAAATTACAGTACTGATTACTTTTGTGTGTACAGCTAATAAACAGTAGAAATGAATCACACACTAATCAAAATATTGTAGGAACCAGAAAAAAAAAAAAAAAAAGTCTATGTCATAACCTAGTTAAAACCTGGTAGAGGAGCAAGGTGAATGTGAAGAAGTTATAAGATTAGGCAACAAAAAACCCCACCAAACACTAAAACATATCTTTGTTGGAATTTAATACGAAACACTCCCAACAGGCATATGACAATAACAGCCAAGAAAACCAATACTACAATACAATGCTTTGTTTTCTGAGACTGCAAATCAAACAGTGCAAAGGAAATTCCTTCATCTTGAAAGGAGTCCAAAGAAATAGAAAACTTGGTAATATAATTCAGAAATCTGAAACCTATTGTTTATTTTCTTCTTTGAAGTAACGAACTCTGAGCGAACAACACTGGGAAATACTGTCATGCAAACAGTACCTTCTCTTGCACATCGATCCCATGAAATAATTTTATTATTTGGAATAAGGCATTTTGTTGAATAGTAAATAATTAATGCCAGAACAGTAACATCACTTTTCAAGTTCTAGAATTCCTACAATTGCCATGATTGCCAGTGAGGTTGGTTTGCCACAAAAAGCAATTGGTGGCATGCGATACTGCTGTTTCTTTGGTAGATATTTAAAATACATTGATTTGAATAATTATGTATTCAATTAATTCATTTATAAATTCTAAATTTTCTCTTAGTATCAGGTTAGATATCACTTTCTTATCCAAATGAAAGCTAGAATATGTCAAGTATACTGCTTTCAACACTCAAAAATAAAATTAGTAGTAGGCCACAACTCCAAAACAAACCAAGACTGAAAGCAGGGCTTTTTTTGCCCCATGTAGAGTATTACTTCAATTTTTGCAGCCACAAGTACCTTCAGTGTCAGCTGGGACTTCCTGAAGCTCTTCCCACTTACTGTATCTCAACAAATGAAGAGGAACAGTCCTCAGAGAAATTATAGCTAAATACTATTTCAGCATCAAAAAGGAAAGTATTCCTTAAGATCAAAACATAAGAATTATAGAAGTCCCATAGATTACTTTTTCACTTATTTAAACACATCAAAGAATCTGAAAATTAAAACTAGCACCTTATGAATTCTGTGTTAGTAAATCTTAGAAGATTTCTTAAAGATACTGAAGGACATTACTGGATTGGTTTGCTGCTATAACCTTAAAGCATACATAAACCCCAAGATTTCTGATTATATTTGTTGTAAAGTGTTACATACAGTGCCATGTCATTGCACAACAAATTAATCCTGATGAACCCTTATTGCCTGATGAATTCTGAATGTCTTCAGTAATATGCCTTAGTACCTGTATTTCAAAGAATCTCATTTAAAAAGACGACGAAAAGAAAATAGGGAACTTAGCGAGGACAGCGGATGTGCTGGAGGACAAGGCTGCATTTCACAAGGACCCTGAGTAGCTACAAGAAAGGTCTGACAAAGGCCTCATGATGTTCAATAAAGACAAACACAAAGTTCAGCACCCAGTCCAGCAAAACCCTAACAAGTGTAGGCTGGGGACTGACCAACCATGCAGCACCTCTTCAGAGAGTATCTGAAATTCCTGATGGCCAAGGAGGTGAACATGAGTAAAGAGCGCACCACTAATGCTGTGAAGGCCAAGTGCTCACTGGATTACAGTAGCAAGAGGACAACCAGCAGTTCACCGGTATCACTATGCTCTTGTATTCAACATCTTTTGAGCCCGATTCTCAAAAACTGCATCCATTTTCAGGGCCCCCAGCACAAGACTGATAAAGTGGAGTGAGTCCAAGAGAGAGCTGTGACTACGAGGGGCTGGAACAGGCCACATACAAGAGGCAGACGTAGGTGGCTTTGTATAGCCTTGAGAAGAGAATCTACCTAAATGCTAACCTTAAGTATCTACTGTGGGAGTAACAAAGACCACAAAGCCAGACTTCTTGCAGGTAAAAGGACAAAAAGGCAATGGACACAAGTTACAACAAGGAATATTCCAATCTCAAATAAAGAAAAACACTCTTCAGAATGAGGGTGGTTAAGCCATGGATCACATAGCCCAGAGGGGCTACGAAATGTAGATTTTCAAAACTTATCTGGACGTGGCTCTTAGCAAACTGACCTTTAGAAGCTCACCTGCTCTGAGCAGGAAGCTGGAACAGATATCTCCAGAGGTCCATTCCAACCTCCATTGCTCTTGATTCTCTGGAAACAGTAACAAGCACTGCAAGTATGTACTGTAGTGTAATTTCTAAAGCTAGAAATTACAACACAAACAAGGAAGACTACACAAAAGTTCCCAAAGACTATTAGAACACATAAATCATCGCCATAAAGATATTATAATGATTGTTATTCAAGACACTTAATAGAAATCTGCTATCTGGTATCGTTGAGGTCTTAATGATGTCATAAAAATATTAAGAAAAAATATGATTTTATATTTTGCCTAAAGTGTCAATAGAAATTAAATTGAAGACCACAAGAACAAGGACTCCTGATTTAAAAGAGAAAAATTTTAGCCACATTCATAAAAGTGCTGTCATGTTTCTTATCTTCTTTACAGGAACTCCTCCTACCTGCGATCATCTGGCCCTAAATGCTCAATCCCCACCAGTAGCTAGAGCCACAAAACTGTAAAAGCTGACTACAGAATCTTTGATCTGTAAGTAAAGTATACCTTTAAACTTAAGTATGCTTATACTACACAAAGAAGAGGGAAAGAATAGGAAAGTACAATTTGTAAAACTACAGAAAGGTGATGACGTGTCATAAATTGTTACCCAGACAGTGTGAGTTACAATACTGCTAAACCACCGTTAGGAGAAAACTGAAGGAATAAAAGCAAACATCGTTATCTCACATAACTGCTTTTGAGTTTTAGGTGTAATAATTTAAGCCTGAGATGGCAATTTAAAGTTTCAAAAGAAAGCACAAGCAGGCAAAAGAACACAGACTTTTCAGTTGGTGTGAAAAAAAAATCCAAGATTTTTAAAGAAACTGTTGAATTTTTGTTGTGTGGTTGGTTTTTTTAAAACCAAAAATGTATTCATTAAATGATTCTAACCCAGGAACTGTAGTTATGATTATATATATTAGGCTATTGCTGAAAAGTAGATCAGAGTAAATACATAAATCCTAGTGAAATTTTCAAGAATCAAATGAATTCACAGGATAAGTGTTAGACTATTCTCTTTATGACTACTTGAATGTCATAAAGACATTTTAGAGAGGTAAACTTTTATCTCTAGAAATAGGTATCGCAAACAAGGCATTTGAGCAGAGATCTGTTACATTACTGATGTGGTTTTGTCTGTGCCAAATGATTGCCAGCTGACATGAAAGGGTGATCACAGGAAAAATTATTATTTATCATTCCCAGCATTCAGTGGACATGTTGTAACACACTAAACAACTGAGTTTAATGAAAGAATATCCAATAACAAATCAAAAATTAAACTTTCACACAATAGCCAACCTTCTTTAAAAGTATTTTTAAATAACACTAATTTTTAAATTTTCTTTAAACAACATCTATATGAATGAATCAATGTCATTTACTAGAGTCTGCAACTGATTTCAGTCTGCCAGCCTTTTGGTGTTCTCCTAACTGGTATTCTGTTATTGTTTTCTGTGGCTGCTCCATTTGAAATGAACCAGCAGCCTAAAGCAGGAAGGCCAACTGTTCCTCTAGTACTAACAAATGTGCTAATATGCACTAGTTTAAACTTGATCTATCAAGTGAATCAGTGAACCATGAAGGGTGGTGGGTCAATCAGGGTGTTCTGAAAACAAAGGCTCATAGGGCAGCAGAGACGCTACGCTCAGACATACATCTGTGCTGCTTTCAGTTCTTAGCTTTATGAAAATGGGTTTATGTTACAAAAGTTAAGAGCCTGGAATCATGTCATTACTGCATACATTTATAAATACTTTCTACAACAGTAAGAATAATATACATGAGGAAAACTAATAATATGAGACAGATTTGTTAATGTAACCATGGAGACACCACTGTTAATATTAACTAACCAAAGTTAATGTTTAACATTAATGGTTTAATTAAAACTTCATGCATGAAGTTTCAGACATTCATATCAAATCCCAGTGTGAGAGATACTACAGAATAGCAGAGAAAAATAAAATGCACTTCATGAATTTTTTGCTACTTTGTCATTTATTCTTAACCATATTTACTGCCTTTTGTTAGTTTACAGAGTTTAAGTAGAACTTCTTCAAATCAACTGTTAAAAAAAGTCTTATCTTGCTAAAAGATTATAAAAAAAATAGATAAGCATGGATAAGAATGTGTGTTCTTATTTCTGGGCCTGTCCTAACCCTTTAAGAAACACTGGGCATTTGCATGCACAGAGGATTTTAAGTTAAACAGTGAATTCCACTGACACACTATGTCCCCACTATATATACACCCCTAAATCCGGTACAAAAAGATGTGATGATGCATAAATGGAAATCACAGAGTCAGGTGCACAACAGGTCTGATGTGAGATCAACACACAACTGTCATGTGAGGCTTTCCAGGAGCCAGCCCAGAACCAAGGCTCCATAGGTGCATGCCTTAAGATGGCAGTGGTTATTTTACATCAGTTTAACAAATACATGATATACAGAAGATCAATTTTCCTGAACGCTGTATCACTGAGCAAGCTCTTCATATCTAGCTGGCGTGCGTCTGAACAGCAGCAACACTAAGAGGAAAACGAGAACTTATTTAAAAGATGGTAGTACATGTGTTTTGTTGCCCCGTCACACACACATAAAAACCCGTAATAGCAGACACTGTAACTAAAATCTAAACAACTATATCTGTGTGCTCACTTATATGACAGGCTTCATAAAAAATTATAGCCTAGTTAGACTTTGCATCAAAGCACTCAACACAAATTCAAAGCAACAGAGGATACTCACTAGGAAAAGAGTAAGAATGAACACAAAAAAAACACAGAAAAAATGTGTCAGAAAATACTCAGTAAAGGGAAACTGTGTACATGGTATTTCAGAAAAAAATGAAATCATTAGAATAAATCTCCAGATAAAACTCTAGCTTGTATCATTACTGATAAAGTTGCTGTTGTTGTTTCTTAGTTAATGTATATGCATTAAAATCTAAAAATTTGTCCAAGAGTAAGGTAAACAAATAGAAATTGCATTTATTTGGAAAGGAGGCATAGCTTTTAGTAATATTTAGCCATTCTGACAAATGACATGTCTACTGACAGCCATACCCAAACATATATACACACTACTTTAGTAAACCACTTGCTTTTAATTTGCTCCAGCCTAGAAGCAATAAAAAACCTTCAAGTAAATAATGCAGCAGCTACTGAACATTTACTTTGTGATCAGATAGATTAGGAAAAAAACATGGGTCCTTAAATTTTGACTATTTTAGAAGGATGAAATTTTAACTTTATCCTGCAGTTTCTAAGGAAACCAAAAAGGAGCCATTTTGAGTTCATTAAAAAAGATGTCACCACCACTATTATAAAAACAAGCTGGGCAAAAACTATGAAAATTCATCACTGTTTCAAGCAGAGAGATCTCAGTGTGCCTTTTGAAATTTCAGTTACTGAGGAATCAACAGATTTTCTGGATGGAAAGACTTTGTATATCTACTCAGACTTCAAAACGTAACAGTGTGAAAACTAGTTTTATTGTAATTACAGGATTTAAACCAATATACACATTAGTAAATTATATTTTGGGGGTTGTGTTTGGTTATTTTTTTCCCCTCTGAGTGCTGATTTTTCCTGAAGTAGAAGGAAAGGAGGAAAATGTACTGATTAGAGATCAAGAAAAATCTGTGTAAGGTTTGAGCTTCTGGAGAAAGACTGAAGCTGAAGGAAGAACTAGAAACAGCAACATTGCACAAAATTTTTTTTATTTTTTTTTTTAGGTGGCTTCCAATTACAAAGCCATAAAACAGAGACTGCACCTCGAAGTCAAGGCAACCTGAGCAAGAGATACTGCAGCTTTTTTTCTGTGAACATATGGTATCACTGCTCCTGATGGATGGAGGGTAATCTGGGAACAAAACAG